TGTGTGTGTGTGTGTGTGTGTGTGTGTGTGTGTGTGTGTGTGTGTGTGTGTGTGTGTGTGTGTGTGTGTGTGTGGCAGCGTGTAAATTAGTCTGTAGACCTTTTCACTGAAATTAGCCACATGAAGAAAGCTTTGTCTCAGACGTCCCTGGAGAAATGAAAAAGACACCAAAGTCCTCATTTGTAAATTTGACTACCTTTAGAACACCTTTTTGATTTACACTCATTAGACACTTAATTAGGTACAATTTGCTGGTACTTTGGTTGAACCCACTGATCATGAGACACAAACAATTAACATATGTTTAACTTCCATCTGTAATGCAGTGGACTCAACAAACCATTGTTGACGGTTAGATACTCAAAATAATTGGACAAACTAGTATAATTTAAAATAAAATTTTGGATTAAAATGCTTTGCAGTCAATGACTGCCTAAAGTCTTGACGCCACGATCATCACCGGGTGCTGAGCTCATTTACAGCAGTCACTGTTTTTTCTCTCTCTGCCTTTAGTTTCGGCTTTAGCAACTGAAAAGCTCTGTTGTGCTGAGAACGAGTGACTGAGCTGAACATTGAAAAATATGTTATTTCTTTGTCTGCACAAACTCTTGGGTTGGTGTTGGAGTGTCCTTTGGGTCATTATCCAATCGTACTGTCTGCTGTCTGATCCGTATTGTTATAAACCTTCGTTTTAATTCATGAAGACATCTGTTGGTTCCAGACTATGACAGTGATACTTGTTGTAAAGGTGTTTTTCCTAATCAGAGAAGTTTGTCCTATCAGACAGGTGCGTCAGTCGGATGGTGAGGCCTTGGCGTCTCATTTTGGATGTGTATTCTTCGAGGTGTCCGCCTGTCAAGACTTCCACTCTGTACAGCAAGTCTTCCACGAGGCAGTGAGGAGGGCGAGGAAAGGCGGTGCCTGTGGCTGCTTGGTCCCCGCCATCTATGCCAGCGAGGACAAAGCACTTCTGGGTGTCCCATCCTTTACTACACCATGTTACAAGGAGCTGCCAGTGCCTGCCAACGCGAAGCTGATCACAGTGAAGACATCCAGAGCTCAGAGCAAACGGAGAGCTTCCACTCTCACCTTACTCAAAGGGTTTAAGATATTTTGACACATTCTACTGCATGTCCTGTGATACTGTAAGAGAGTTGTAGGTCCTTATGTAGACAGGCTTCTGAAGCAGCAAGAGCAGCTCCACCCTACAGACATTTGGCAGGTTCAATGAAAAAGCCTGAGCAATCTTAACGGAGGCTTTTCTTAATATGTTGATTTTATGTTGAGGTTTTACACTGAAAAAACAGCCATGTTGGATTTACTTAACTCAATAGTGGACATTGGTTGCACACAACTGCTTTGCCTTGGCAGAAATTTAAACAACTGAGATAAATCAACACAACATATTCATGTTCAGTAAACCTGTGCATTTTGTGTTGATAAAACGCAAGCGAAACATGTTCAGATGGAGTAAGTTGAGCTCTTGGAATATTTTAATCCTTCACAATTTTGTCATTTTATTTCAACACTATTCAATAACTTTTACCACAGTACTACTTGGTCACTTAAATACTACATGGTGTCTTCATATTACATAATGTTCAACAAAGTCTGGTTAACATAAAAAAATGAATGAATCTACAACAACTACCATCCTCCTATCTTGGTTGCAGGGGGGCATAACCCTGAAGTGATTGGTTTCCAGGGTGTACACCGCCTCTTACCCTGTCTATCAAATAGAGACAAACAACCACTTGCACTCACAGGTAACTTAGAATCGCCAATTAACCTAACTCTAATGACTGCATGACTTTTAACGGTGGGAAGAAACTAGAATACCCAGAGAAAAACCACTGCAAGCTAGCCAAACTGTGGATTTGAACTCAGGACCTTCTTGCTGTGAGGCAACAGCACTAACCTCCATGCCACCAATCCAGGTATAACAAATGTAGGAAAGCAATGATTTCATGGCTTGATGCAGAATCTTCTGTGCATTTTTGCCCTTGACAGGTTAAACCACAGTAAATAGCGATAGCACACACGTGGTGTGTCTGTAGATATCTGCCTCTTATAATTCCACAGATTTTCCTGCAGTTTGAAATCTCGTGTGATCTTGTGAATTTTGTGAGACCAGCAAATAACCACTCTCACTAGATTGGGAAGGACACTGTCTCAGCTGAACTCTGGACACACACATACACTGATACACACTCATCCCCCCTCCCTTTCCAAACGCCGTCAATGCTTGTTCCCTCCTGGAGAACACGGCGGGTCTGGGCCCAGCGCTGGAAGAATAGCTGCAGGGCAGGATGGCTGCTGTGTTTGCTTGGGACAACTCCTCACCCCCCACCCACCCCTGTTGCTGGTCACGTGCTCCATAATGTTGTGCTGTGGACATTTATGTGCTTTCTGTGCAGAGGAGTTTTTTGTTTCCTGTTCTCATGCTGTCCTCCCAGGAGCTCAGCATGAGTAGAGGTCTCTTTTTTTCCCTCTTGGACTTTCCCATTGTTTTGTATTTCAGTGTTTTTCCGTAATACTACCGGTCCCTGACCTGTCTCCCCATGTGATGTCTGTGTTGTGTATGTAAGGTCGGGGGGTCCCCATTTCACTGCAGGGCAACTTGCATGTGACAAATAAAGTTCTGATTGATTGATTGATTGTTTGTATCAGGTCATCTCAACAAGAAGAAATTAAGTTGTTGAATTTCATACAGATCCTACATGATTTCCTAACGTTCAAGATAGAAACATGAAATTTTTGTGCTCAAATTACAAGGTAGACTTTTTTTTTCGGCTTGAGATGGATGCCTTCCTCAAACCACGATCCAAAGGTGTAGCAAGATTTTATTTAATTTAGCTATATTATTGACTTACTTCACTCGAACATGATTTAATCTACTCTCTCTGCATATCATGTAGTTTCTACATGACACAGTTACACTTAACTTTAAAGCATGAGGCAATTGTGTTAAATACACGCAAGATGCTTACATAAATCCAAGAGATGGCCAATCCCTTTTTTTCAGCGTAGTTTGTTTTTCTTATGACCTCCTTAATGTAGTCATACATCCACTGAAATGATGGATAAACCAAACCATTATGTCACTGAGAAAAAGACATGCATGCCTTATAAGCTTGCTCTCCCAATGTGGTGAGCAGCATGAAGGAAATTCTTTCTCTACGCTAAGCAATGTTTTCCCATATCAGAGACATGTATACAAACAATGACAAGTCCGAAAGGCCTTCAAGATCAAAGCAAGTGATTTATTGTGATGCAATAATATCTGAGGCATCAGCACAACACACAAAAGTACTCAAATCTCATTAAGTTTTTCCCATTTCAGTTCACAACACAGGATGGAGGAAGACTAGAACATTCGGTGTCTATTTGTCAGACTCCCTGTGGACAGAACCTTATTGAAAGCAACTTTGCAGCCCATCAAACCAGAAATCATCATCAACACCACAAGAGAGGAGCCCTAGAAACTGAACCATCAGCAGGGGCAGAGCTGCCTCCTTTAGCCACCCCAAAACTAACAATGGCGAAGCCCATTGGGGGAAGCACACATAAGCAGATCTGAACTTGCATCCAGAAACTGTTTTTATAGAATACCTTTACAGGGAACCATTTTTATACAACTTTTGTTCCCACGTGGACACATTTTATGAGCGCAACCACCACTGTTATGAGCTTTATTAGGAATGAATAAAAAAGAGAAATGTTTTCTGATCATTTGAGGGTTTCATAAAATTTCACTCTGAAGTCATGAAAATAAGAATAATCAGAAAATTATGATCAATTATTAAAGCAAACACTGCCGCTGGTATTCACTGTGACCTCTTCAGCTCATAATCTTCACTTCATCTGGAGAGTCGAGCTCAGCAGCTGTTATTTTCTCTTTCCTCTCTTCCTCCTGTTTCTCTTCCACCGCAGGATCTGGGTACAGGCAGGAGGTGTTGCCATCTTTCCATGTGACCACAATATTTCCTGCATTGCTCTGCTCGTTTGTGTCACTGTTGGACATGTGAGGCTTGTTTCCCTGCAGTGGCATGTCTGATGCTGGGTGTGTGCTGTTTTCTTTGAGCAGCTCCTGATCTTCATTTTTCTGAAGCAGAGATGTTGCAGCCTTGTACTCTGCTATCTTCTTCCTGCTCCTGTTTGAGTTAGTACAGAAACCTTTAATATAATATACAGTATGTTCGCTCTCAAAAAAAATTGCAGTCAAACAACTTCGGGTCATACTTATTTGCCATGGCTCCCATTCCCAGGAGAAGAAAACCAACAAGAAGGCAGACAAAGGCCAGTCCGAGCAGTACAAATGTCCATGTGGTTGCTGCAACACGAGGATAATTAAAACCTGAAAACCTCCCTGCCCTCTTTCAAAATCATATGCACACTGCAGAATCAGTAACACACACACACACACACAAGAGTTAAATAAGGGCTTGTCAGTATTTCCCAACTTTTTATTTTTGATAATCTGTAGAATATTAGCCACAAAACAAATGCGTATCTACAGATGTGAGATGTTTCCCTGATTAGAACATGTAAAAATTTGACATAACAGTATTTTCTACATGACAGCATTACAACATAACAACACTAACCTTTTAGTCAGCGAATTTCTCTGGATTTTTGAATGCTCGCTTTCTTACTAAAATATGTGGCATCAACGTTTTTGCCAAATGTGTAAATTAACAGCATTTTGTCCGAGTTGTTCACAGCTACTCCCCCTGACAGCCTAATGAGTAATGAAAATGAACCAGTGCCAAGACCCTTGTGGTCTGGTTCACCAGCATGAAGCTGAGAAACTGCTGAGCAGAATTCTTGCTCTGAGCTTTATCATTTAGCTTCCCCCCCCCCGACAAGTTTCCGTTTTCTATATGGAAAAGCTTTCAGCATGTGGCAAAGTGGCTGGGACAGAATTCATTTGCCATTTGTCACTTGCATATATTGTTATTTTGTGTTCTGATATCTTATAGTCTATCATAATGCTTTAATGTAGTGATGGGTCCAGCAACACTGACGCACCGACGCATGTCTCAAGCTCACAGAGTGAAACCTGTATCGGTGCGTGCGTCGCTTTAAGAAAAAGTCACGTGATCGATACAGCTGTGTTTAAAAGATGCCGAATTTTTCTGAATAAAAACTTATAATAAACTCTGAATCAATTACATTTAAATGGGTAATATTACAGTCACAATACTGTCATTTTAATTTTCACTTAATGTCATTCACAATATATTTTAAAGATGTCTGCAATAGTTGCAATGTAAAAGATATAAAATGATTCCATGGAAAGTACAATAGCTTACAGTGTGTACAAGTATGACTAGGTCATTGAATCAGTGTCTGTTGAGTCTCAAGTAAGGTGCCTGCAATGATATTTAAGGTCCAGCAGGTGTCGGTATGGAGCAAAACAGCAACCCTGTGTCGACACAGATACAGTTTGGGGAATGTGCTGAAAGGCTTCACGAGGCCTCATCTACCCATCACTACTTTAATGTAAACACAGCACATGCAACCTTGGCTCTACATACTATCCCGGGTCTGTTTGTGGTAGCATTGGTTATATTCATTTCATCTTAAAGCTAAATGTCACTTCATCATTAATTGATTTGAATCTTTCATTTGTTTATGTAGCTTGGTTATACTTACCATTGTGTGTTCCTTTGAGCAGGTCCTATGTGTAAAACAGTACTTCCTGATTTTATAGGATATGATGTCACTGATTATGTCAATTGGGTGCAACCAAATGAAGGGGTGTTTCTTTTGTGTAAAATTGTTTATTTCATTTAAAATAATCTCACGAGTCAGATTAAGTGAAGAGACTGACTTTTCAAACTGTTTAGTTGGGTGAATGAGTTAAGTGGAAAAATGACTTTATTCCTGTTTCTTTGTCTAGACTGTGTTACTTAGTCTACCCTGTTTTCCCAATGGTAGAGGTTAATGAGATCCAGGTGTGAGTAGAATTCTGTATAAAGCAGGTGAGATTTTGACAGGTTCTTATGTTTTTGTGAAACAATTGTTAAAAGGCGACGCCAGAAAATAAAGAACACTTAAAGGAAACTTGAACAGTCTGCAGATGCTGTCTTCCTATCACCTCTCATGCTGCTTATGTTATGCTACTTCACACAGCATACTATGTCTCAGGAAAAAAAAAATATTGCAGACTATCCAAATGACCAAGTATTTCATGTTACACATCCATTTGGATCAAGTATTCTAGCAGGAGCAGCACTTACGGTCCTCTGTGCGGTAGAACCAACGTAGATACTCTCTTTGTTCCTTTGTCATAGCTGTCAGCTCTCCTGTTTGCGCTTCATCCTCGTACGTCAAATCGTCAGAAGCTCTCCGATGTCCTTAAGAGGACACACAGACAGACCCCACAGAAGCTTTGATTGTCAAACACAAATGTAGCAAACTGAGGATTTCAGTATCAGCTCTTAAATTTGTCTCTGTACCAGTAATGATGAAGTGGCAGGAGAGCAGGTCCTCTACTGCCAAGTATGCATGCAGAGTATCACTGGGCAAGATACTAACCCCAAGTTGCTCTCGGATGCATCCATCGCATTATAAATGTGTACACATGTTAGGAAGCACTAAAAAGCTTAGAAGAAAAGTGCTTGCGTGATTGGGTGAATTTGGCATGTTGGGCGCTTTCTGTGCTCTGGGAGAGTAGAAAAGCGCTATACAAGAATTAGTCCATTTACCATTTACATGTGCTGTTCATTAAACATACTCTTCTGAATGTAATATATTTTGAGTTCCTTAGTGATAAACTGTAAAGATTTTGTTGGCCAAAGATTCAGGTCACTGTGACCTGACCTCCTCAAAGCACTTTCT